TTAAAATTGCACCTTGTTCTACATCATAAAACCTAAATAATAATCGTACAATAGTAGATTTTCCAGCTCCAGATGGTCCAACTAATGCAACAGTCTTTCCTGCTGGTACAATGAAACTAATATTTTTTAGTATAATTTTCTCGGATGTATAACTAAATGTCACATTTGCAAATTCTACTTGACCACGTTTTATTATTAATGGACCAGCGCCTGGAGCATTGATAACTTCTTGTTCTTCTCTTAAAAGATCAAACATATTTTCCATGTCAACAAAATTCTTTTGTATAGCACTGTAAAAATAAATAAAAATATTTATAAATAAAATTATTTTTAGATAGAATAAATGATATAATTAAAATAAATAAAAATTTACAATATTATTTGAATAAATGCTTACCGGTAATATGTTCCAAACCAATTTAATGGCACATAAAGTTGAATAATATAACTTGCAAATAAAACATAATCACCAATGGTTAAACCTTGTTTAGTTACAACCTATAATTAATTATATATATTATATATTAAAAAATTAAAAATTTGTTTTAATTTTATTAAAACTAACCATATGTAAACAAAGCAAAGAACCAGTAAGTAAACCACTACAAACAATTACGTTTTGTAAAGTATTTAAAATATTTAATGTTATCATTGACTTCCATTCTGCAATTTGGAATTCCAATATCGCTTTCCTATAACTATCAACTTCATATGATTCTGCTCCATAATATTTAACTGTTTCAAAATTAAGCAAACTATCAACACTTCGTGCTTTTTGAGCATTATCCGCTAAATTCATACGTCTCTGAAACTTAGTACGCCACTCAGTAACCATAATTGTAGCAGCTGCTCAAATAAAAAATTATATATAAATATTAAAATTGAATAAAAAAAAATTATTAGGATTTTAATATCAAAAAGAATTAATTATAATATTTACCTATATAAAGGCTCATAGTTAGAAATACAATTAAGCCAAACCATTTATTAAAAGCAACAATAAAAAATGCAACAGCTACAATAATATCAATGATTGTTGGAACAATTGAAAATAAAATATAATTGAGAAGATTGTTTACAGAGTCTGTACCACGATCCATAACTTTTAAGACTTCTCCAGTTTTTCTCCCAAGATGCCAACGTAAACTTAAACTATGTAAGTGTCTGAAAATATGTTTGTAAAAAGAAAATATATTATAAATATTATTATATATTTAAATATTTATAATATATTTATAATATTCATAATAAATATATTAAAATTTAAAACTTAAGTTTTCAAGTTTTATGAAAATAAAAAGAATAAAAATATAATTTACCTAAATAATTCTACTTCTATTTCACGAGTTGTATACTGTTGTATGCGGATCCATAAAAATGATCTAAGATTATTTAATAATCCCATACCACCTGTACCACCACCTTGCAAGAATTTAAATGCTACATATATTAATATAAAATCCCACCTATTATAAAAATTAAATATATTATAATTCACAATATTTTTTTTTTCCTTATTTTAATAAAAGTTTTATATACCTAAATAATTCAGGAACTTCAGAAATACTATCTACAATTTTTTTATTGTAAATTGGGACATATAAATTAATTAAACGTCCTGATATAAGTAAACCAAAGCAAAAAATAACACGTAGTTGAAGTATGAGAGGTTTTGGCCATAAAAATGGTGCTAAAATTTTTATCTTATGCCATATATTTTTCCATGTAGAGCTAGTATCCTCAGATCGCTAAAAATATTATATTGTATTAAAATGTAATATTATATAAAAATAAAATTTTAATCAATAAATCAATAAAAGTGAATTTTTTTATTTATAAAATTATTTATATATATATATATATATATATATATATATATATATATATATTAATAATTAAAAATTTTT